ATACATATATATATATATATATATATAAAATTATTATTCAACATTAATTTAACATAAATAACATGAATGTAATTAATAATATTAAGAAAAGCACTTTGCTCTGATTTTACTAAATGAAATGTCAACCCAAAACCAGAGCTCAATTTTCTACCATCAGGAGGGAAAGGGAGAGACAGGTGTGTGTCCTGGACAGACAGACAGACTGCACATGGACACAAGTATGTGGGCCGGCCAGCTGTGACAGGGCAGAGGAGCGTCAGGCATGAGTCAGTCAGACAGAGCGGTCACTCCTTCCTCTGCTGCATGACGGAATTTCTGACAACTGCACCCTTCATTAGACCCTATAAATACCACAGGACAATCAGATTTAATCAAAAAATATTGTTGCTACATTAGCCATGACACAACTGTTAAGAATCCATCTGCTATGAAAGAATATTTATGACAATATTTGTAGTGATTTTTCTGTGGTTTCCCATACTGCTTAAGAGCAGACAATGTTATTTAGATCTGCAGCTGTAAACAGTCTCTGATTAACCTGTTAGGAACACAGCTGAACTTTACATAAACCTAAAAATGAACCCCACATCTCCCACAAACTGTCTATCATCCACCCCTGCGTGACAATGGATGTGAGAGACACTGAATCCATCTGCCCACAAGCTAGAAGAGATGCAGACACAACATCCACCCTCCTCGCCATCATTCTCCCTGAAGCACACAGAGGTGTGTCAATGAACTGACACAGAGATTTTACACATCTAACCAGACGCCTGATGACCTTTAAATGTAAAGCTTACACACGATACTTTAAAGATGATATGACACTTTTTAGATCAAGATACGATGTGTCAAGCTGACGTGACCTTGAAAAAGCTACAGAAATACCATTTCATATCTACTTCAAAACAGGAAGGTTACAGTATCTGTGTGCAGACACTGGGAACTGAAGGGTTGTATTGCCACCTGGTGGACATCAGATGCTGTTTTAAAGCTTGCTTTGCTGACTTCAGATCAGAGTTGTGCACCATTCAGAATTCAGTTGAGAATGCACTGTAAATTCTAAATTCATTTCTGAACTTAAAATTAATTTTCTAAAATCGCAGTGCATTTCTTAGATTTTTACATTTCAAAAGCAACATTTGTCAAAACTTTAAATGCTGGCCTAAAGTCTTGTCTGAAAGTTTTGAAAGAAGTTTTAAAAAATCTTGAATTTTAAATGTTTATAGAATATGACGATTTAAATTATTTTGCCACAACTACAAATAATTATTGTTGCAATTAGCTATCACATCTTAACAATTAGTATTTTCCAGATTTTCATTTTTGAGATAACCTAATTATAATATAAAGTTGTCACTTAATACAACATTTTAAGTTTTCTAACCTAAATAAATAAATGATTTAAACATCTATTAGTGCCTAACCCCCTTTTTAGGGGTGAGAATCAGATGCAGAAATAATGGTTGACACCTCTGGTTTACACCAAAAGCATCGCCAAGTGCCAGCTTGCTAGTTTAGAATTCATGTGAATTTCATGTGTTAATTTTTGCACTTACACTTTGAGCTCTCAGTTTCAAGTCATAGTTTATATAGATTTCGAGATTACTTTTATCATTAAACCTCACAGGGACAGGCAATCCCTTGTCAACTCCAGGTCAGAAGGTTCGTGTTAGGTGAATAATGCTCGATACAGATATTCATCCACTGTCCTCAGACCAGCCAGATGCTCGATAAATAAGATTTGCTTGCTATTCAGTCATAGGCGTAGCTTGACGTTTGAGCTTGGGGGGGCCAAACCGAACCGGTGGATTTGGTTTTAAACACATTTTAGTTTTGCTATAGTAAATCTACATATTCACATTCACATAGAGCAGTGGCAAGTGCATGAGGTTGTCATGGTAACCACATACATTGCCCACGAATTACAGCTGCGCTTCTATTTCGCCACACTAAA